TTTATGCGTGGCCAGTACAGAGATCTGTCATATTAATTTTGATGTTATGTAGGCGACAAGCATCCCGCGATTCTTGAAAAGAGGCTGTAACCCTTCAAGGGCTTCCACAAGAAACCGTGCCACACCGAACACTTGCGAACAGCCACACGCTCATACGTAAGAGTTCCAGATCGACTGAATGTCTTTGCGGAAGAGTGTAGACATTACAAGGTCACAGAAAACATATAAACCGTCACAGGTCATGCATGTTTGACTTGAAAATTAACCACCCCTTGGCCGCTTCCTTCCAATTGTTTCGAACCGAGCGATCCTCTGGAGTGCAGCCCAGCGTTACTGTTCAAGGGTCCCCTCAAAAGCATGTACAACAAGGATATACCAACAAGCGCAGATGTGGGCGTTTGTGATGTGGGCTGCTTATTTTAGAGAACCGTTGATGACCCGTGAAAGAGGAACTTTCTAACGTTTGAAGGGATTGTTCGAGAAATGAAATACTGTTCGTTGCAGCATAACTACCGCCAAAATAATTATCGCTGAAGTACATGCCACCCGGTTTCGAGTTAGGGTTGATTGATTAACCATCGGTCTTGTCTAAATATCTGACCGTAATCAAGCAATTAGAAAAGAAAACCTTATTTCCGCTGCGTTAAGTAACGGAATTCTCCGCAAGCGAGATAACTTTCATGCAGTAAAGAACTGCTTAGCTACGTGAATGGATTATCATAAACTACCCTGTCCATTGTCTTGGGGCTCTGACTTGACTGGTGTAACGACAGAGTGACGAATTTTCGAACCTGTGCACCTAACAAGCTCTTCTACAAGTTGTATGAAATATTTTGTTGGCAAATATTCGACACTGGATTTTTTTAATTTCATGGAACCGTCTATCAGGAAGCTAAGAGTCCTTAATGGAAAGAAGGGATCCATTTGTCTTCAGTGATTAAAAGCTTTTTACGTGCTACCAGCCGCACTCTGTGATGACATCTCATTCTGTGGTCATCGCAGCACACAACAACCATATATTCTTAGAAATCTGTCAGTGGCTGGAAGGAATAGGTCGAGTTTGTTGATAAGCACTGGAAAGATGCGGCCGGCCAGCTACTCTTCGGTTCCCGGTAGGTCTCGCGTGACTCTGTCCGTATTAACATAATTCCTAGTAAACGGGCACTTCCGATAGCTTGGGTTGATAAATTGATAATAAAAGGAAGCGCCAAATGACAAAGAGGCTTATGTTGGAGCTGCGCTTATCACAGTTTAGTACTTGGCCTTGTGCAAACTTCACAGACGCAAAGACCAATCACTAATTATTCGGACTCGCTATATACCCACGAGTAGGAGACCAAGGAAGAACACGATAGCCTAGTCGGATGGAACAGTATATTTGGATGGTTGTGCCAAGATACCGATGCGTTCCAACTAACTGGCTAGAGAGTCGAATACAAGCAGTGTAACGTAAGACGACAGAGTGCCAAATGGAGAGGATGCTTGACCGAGTGCCCTCAGCCTAGCGATTCCAGTTAAATTATCAAGGTCAGCATCAATGTTGAATCTCGTCAAACCGTAGGCTATTGATTTTAGGGAAGTGTGTGACGCTACAGATCACTCCCCCCTATTGGGTTCGTGATGACCCTAAGACGATACCAGCTGGAAGTAAAAACCTATTGGTTTCTCTACTGGTAAAACTCTTCCGATGGGCTCACTGCGTGATGTGGCCACTGGTTGTCTGATTTTATTCTAGGGTGTCGTTTCAGATGAGAAATGAAATGCAATAAATTGAATTGTACGTCGATCGCGGTCCCCAGTTTTCTGTGACGTTCCATCCAGTGCTCGTTGCACCTGGAATATAAATAAAAGTCTTTAGTACCACGAAAACCTTTCTTAAAATTGGGAATTAGTTATGTATAAACATATCGAAAATAAAAATTTACTTTCATTTTCACCGTTTTTTTTGAAAAAGTTTCTTTACATGTTAATAAAAATTGATATAAAAAGGCAAAGTGTGCGAGGAGTTTTGCATTGCCGGTAAATAGGAAAAATAGTTCCTCGGAAAAAAATTTGTAAGTTAAAAATATGATTGGCACATCTTATTTCACACCACTAAGTTGAATACGACTTTAAATACTCCGAGAACCTGACGGTTCGACCTGATCGTGTTTTCTGTTGCGCCGATGGTTGTTGCAACTGTGCATTACGAGGCACATCGTCAAGAGTTTCGATAATTGGGCTATCCTTTGGTGCTGTTTTGGCGTTAAGCCTACGGTAATAACCGGTTGGACGCTAGTCGTTGCTATCCTCTATGGAAACCATGTGCAATGGTGATGCCCAAGGACTGTTTGACGGTTTGAGTATGTCCAGTTCCAGCACATGATCAGATTCACTCTTCGCAGTTTTGAGCTTATCGGGGGCTAGACAGCGCGTTTTGGATGCCACAGGTGGACCTGTGGTTGTGACGTGATGCATAACATTGCTGGTTATGCACGGAAGAGTATGCTTCGGTTGCTGCAACTCTGGATATTTCTCCAGAACTGCCTGGTAGGACGCCTCGCCTGACTGTTTGGTTCTAACAATGGCTAAACTCGAACCTATGTGTGTGGTGCCACCAATAGATAACTTTGTGTTGTTATCTATCAGGTGACGACGACGAGCATCTGCGAGTAGATCGTAATGGTCTAGCAAATCTATGACAATGATGGGCATAGAAACGTCAACCAGGAGGAAAATCCCGTGGATAGGTTTACGTAAACCTGAGTTGAGGTGGGCATACCGTCTCACAAACGTCGCGATTGCCTTGTCGTTAGCTGCTTGGAGGTTGAAGGATGGGTCATGATGACGCCCCCTTTTGTCGGTGCGGGAAGAGCGCTAATTCCTGCGCCGGTGTTGACGATGTAGCGAACTTTTGTTTTTATATCCGTGGCGTAGAGCAAACGGCTGTTTCCACTGGCTACGGTTGCCGTGAACACGTGTCGGCTTGGCCGTTTCCCGAGTTTGTGTCCTTGTTAAAACTGCATGGTTCCCGACATTTTCTGGCTTCGTCTCCGTAAGTACTATGAAACCAGCACCATTTAGGGTTTTCCACCGTGTTAGGTTTAGTTTTGGGGCAACCACGTGATTCGCTGAGGTGCACTAAGATGCGTTTCTATGGGGTGCAACGTGAACTAGGACTTCGAGATCCTAGCTATTGTCTAGCGGAGTTGCACAGCTTCGTCACCTCTGAATCCTGGCTCTCTGGTTTGTCGCAGATAGAATATACGTTCGAGACGGGTCTGCTAGGGATCTCCAGTACTTCATCTGCTGAGACTGCCAGGTCATCGAGTGGGACTGACTGCAGTGTCACCAACACGGTTCGCACCAGTTGTGGTAGTTTCGAGAGAAATAGTTCCCGGGAAGGGCCATTGTCGGATGTTCGTGCGCCGATAACTTCTCGCATACGTGAGAGGACTTCAGTAGCTGAGTTGCTGCCTAGCTAGACGTTACGAAGTAATTCGACTAGGTGCTGGCGACCTGTGAAATCGCTCTCCTTCAAGAGTGCGGCCTTGGGAAGTGCACAAGGATCACTAACTTCAGGATTAGACACGCGTGCCGTAACATGCCTATTTAATTCTCGCGGTAGTGAACGTATGACAGCAAGAAATCGAGAATGAGGATCTGAGACACCCTGTTCTCGAAAATCTGCCTCGGTATACAGAAACCATGTTTCCGCGTTGTCTACTCAGTATGGCACCAGTTGGATAGTCCTCGTAGCCGGCTTAATACGAATAAGCTTGGGAGTGTGGTTGGATATGAGAGAGTGTAGTAAGTGGATGTATAAATGTTATCGAAATGAAAACAATGTACAAATATAAAATGGAACGGGCCCACCAATTCAATATTTGCTATGGTCGGGATATGTGATCATGTCGGGCCCACCAATTTAGGATTTGTCCCGGTGCGGACTTGACAGACACAAAGACCAGTCACTAATTATTTGGACCTGTTATGTACCCACGAACAAGAGACCAAGGAAGAACACGATAGCGTAGTCGGATGGAATGGTATATTTGGGTGGTTGTGCCAAGATACCGGTGAGTTCCAACTAACTGGCTAGAGGGTAGAATACGAGCAGTGAAACGTAACACTACAGCGTGCCGAATGGCGAGGGTGCTTGACCGGGTGTCTTCAGTTTAGCGAGTCCAGTTAAACTATCAAGCTCAGCACCATGTCGAAAGTCGTCAAACACTGAGCTATTGATTTTGGGGGATTGTGTGACGGTACAGTAGTAGCAAGTAGCGGCAGTTGATACCTTTTCTCCTTTGAAGTAATATGTTGGCGGCTTCTCGTCCTGTCGTTCGCTCACTTGTGGCATTCTCAGCCAGGTAGTTTACGAGTGGATTTGCTTATCACCTTATGTATCTTTCTCATTTCGAAATTGAGGGTGGAACGCACCTCCTGTTGGCGCACATGACTTCGTGATGTACGAATGTCAAATGTGTGTTGACCCTGCAGAATGTGGTCAGCCCCAAAATCCGCTTGTCCAAACAGCCAAGATATTCGGTAGTCCGGATTTCCATAGAAACTCATCGGGCGTCCCCTTGGTTTCGTCTGATAAACACAATGGAACCCGTAGACAGCCGAGATACTGCAACACAAATTAGACTTTATTGTGTTACTCATCGAAAATTCGAGGTTTATGATGTTGCGGTGTAGACTAGGTGTCGTTTAGGCAACATTTTACTGCAACATCGTATCCAGCTCTTCTGCAGGTGTGAGTCCTACCTTATGTATCATTTACAAAATAAAGTTTAGGGAGTTTGAAACCACCTACAATACTGATAGGTGTATACCACGGTTTGGGAAAGTTACCAACTGTATCTTAGACTCGGTTTTCCCACCGAATGTGTATAGATGCTTGCCTATAAATACCCTTAATTAACTCCTCGTAACCACTGGTAGCCACGTCCAGAAGTGGATTGTCTTCTGAAGACCTTCCAATTCCATAACGATTTAAAAAGTCAATAGATGTAGGAAAATAAGATTTTAAGCAGTAAATGCAGTAAATCTACCTTTCGTATTTCAGCTTTATCTTTCGCATTGATATTTGTTTAACTGTACTGTTTGCATTTACTCGTATAACGGTGTTAACTCATTCTGGTTGTGAAAATGTTGTCTGATGCCGAGAAAAGGAAGCAGATAAGTGTTAGAGGAATAGCACAGTTGGAAAATGTGTCCAACCTGAAATCAGGCTTCAACAGACACTTGCACTTTGATGGAGTCAAAGATAGAAACGTCGCAACGTCTCTTGACTTCTATCATGCATTGGCACGTACTGTCTGGGACCATCTTTGCTCACGTTGGATTCGAACTCAGCAGTTTTATCACAGGGAAGATCCAAAGGTGTGTGATTTGAAAATGTTTCCCGTTGTTTTTTAGTCTTCAGTGGTGTTTTGTACAGGAGAAATGACTGTCAATTTGCGTTGAACTGTCTGCTTGCACTACCTACTTAGATGTTTCCACCTCGAGTGGTTGACTGATTTGTTAGAGTTTACTCGGTGAAGAGGAAGAATTTCAATTAGCCTGTGTCAGTCATCCGCCCAAAATAAAAGGATACGTCTAAGAATTCACCACAAAAAGGTTATGCGTTTGGGCTCCCAGTCTAACGCTATCAAGCCTGAGTTATTCTGAGTGGAACGAGTGGAGCTTCTTCCATTCTTGTAGATCCCATCATCAACCAGCTGTCGGTTGCCCTTCTTAGATACAGGGGTAATTATCTCGCCATTTCCATTCTCTTGCCTTTGTGATCAAAAGCAGGATGCTCTGTACTACCTCAACGCTTGGGCCAACTACCGAGAGAACCACTTGGTCGGTGATGTATTCGCACAAAACTGGGCGAGTGACGACGATTAAAAGCTTGAAAATACTGGTCGGTGGAGAACTCCACCTTTTCTTCGTTGCTAGTAATCAGTCCATCGGAGCCCAGCAGTCAACAGACTCCTACTGTTGAAGTGATGCAGCATAGTGAAGCAGACTGTCTGGGTTCGAAGAAAACATGTTTGTAAGACGAGATCGATGGCGATTCCTATCAGCCTCGATGATTTGTTTTTCTCCGTGTTTCATTTATGCCTTCGCTTGTGGTGTATCCTTGCCATTCTCCTTCGTGGAATGCTTTTCATTGTAATTCTGTGTCTATTTTGGGTATCTTTGCGCCTCTCAGTGTCATGGTGTGGTAATCCGTCGTGGAATCATCAGGGCGTGTTTTTGTGAATTCCCACAGAAAGTTTGCACTTTTCTTCTTCAAATTATGTCTTTCGTTATATCGTGTCTCGTTTTTGAGCGTGTCTGGGACGTGTTGTATGAAGCAGCTTTTCCCTTCAACGCTGTCTCTTACGGTTCTATTAAAAAGCCCTGCTTTTAAATCTGCTTTCTCATCTATGAACCGTACCTCGGTAAAAGTCCGTTTATTACTTAGTTAACCTGGAGTTATTTTCAGTTTTGTTATGGTACGCTTTACTTTTTCGAAATTTGCGGCAAAATCTCCGCACTGATCACTGATAATATTATATACATCTGGTTTTCACACCATAAACCACTAACAACTCACACAGTAATGCCAAAATCGTCGATACGGCGGAAAGCAAGTCATGGGGAAGGATGTTTACTTACCTTCTACTATCGAAATGCCGAAACTTAATCCAGTAATACTTAGGATTTCACGCTTACCTACCCTACAAATTTAACCGAGCCTTAGCGACACATGAGTCTCTTAACCGAATACCTCCGTCATGGCTGAAGATCCGTTTTAAAGTGATATTATCGGTGCTGGTTAGCAGTGGAATTGAGAGTGCGCACTTACTAGCAATCTCTTCACTCGTATTCGATTTTATTTGCCCTTTTATCTTTATCCTACTGATTTCCTCTTTGGGATGCTGAAAAATGTAGCAACTGTGACCAACGGTATTTTTTTTTAGTTATACGTTGATATGCCTGTTTGACTCAAAGGAAAATGCTATATTTCTTGAGCGAACTACTTTTGATGTGGAAATACTGGAACAGGGTTGGGTGGGGCCTTTGGTACTGTCTGTTGTGAGTTACTAAACTGTCAGTGACTACTTTCACTCATATATTGTACTGCCATATGAATTGGGTTCGAATTTTTTGAATGCATTCATTTTTTAACCCCTGACTTCAGTATAAACCTAGTAGGTATTGAAAATGGCCACAGGCACTTTTAGTTTTAGGATAATTTTCGTTGGTGTGTGAACAAAAATAGTAAACCTTATTGCAGTTTACGTTACCACCTATTTTGACTTAGGAGGTACTCTGAAGCCGTTTTATTTGGAACTTAAGAGCTTTTCCGTAGTTCCTGTCTTCATCCGATATCTCATACTGTGAACTACACCTGTGATAGCTGTGAGAAGTTACTTTTACATACAAGTGTCAAATATAGACATGGCACATCTGGTGTTGCTTCATGAGTTCATCTTTTTGAACTGCATTTTATGATCTTCTAACGTCCTAATAAACAATAACTACTTTACTACGCACCTGCCTCACTTTTGAAAATATACCCTGATCAAGCTGTCATTTATTGAAAATAAACCTAGGTTTTGTTTCATACCTGAGAAACATAAAAGGGTACATAAACAGAAGGAAAAAGACACTTCTTTTTGTCTTCACGCCAGGTTCATGGAATTGGCGATCACCAGTACAAATGTCCCATTTTTACAGATAGTACACCGTCACCTTCATCACCAAGAAATTAGCAGGATTGCGGATGAAGTCAGCGGTACATACAACGGAATCGACCTTTTTTATTGAAATGTATTAAGAGTGATACACAGCGTAACCCAACAACTGCTTTAAAAACTACATATGTTCTAGTGTACGATATTCCTTTAAAACGAAGCCAAGCGCTTAATGTCTCATTATGGATAAAATAAAACCTGCTTCTGATCTTTGAGGTTGCTGTTTTTTTTATTGAGCATTTGGCTGCCTATTAAGGATTCGTAACGGGCTAAGAGTCAGTACTTACGCACTAAGTGAAGGATCTCAGAATTCATCATTTTAGTGTAAATGCCCTTGTTTTTTATCTTTCTGTTACCTAATCACTATTCAACCAACTAATTCCTTTGGGTATCATAACTTCAATCCGTTTTAGTTGTTTTTGTTGGTATCTTTGAATCTCCATTATTTGCTTCAATATTTCGCCAACAAAACAGATTTGCTATTATCTCATATTTTAATTGATTTTTGCATCAGCAACATTCGTAAGAACATTAATAAATTTTATTACAACCTTAGCTACGTATATTGCTGTTATCCAGGCTGAAGTATGTGGAGAAACATTTAAATAACAGGTTCATAATTTGATCATCGAAAACCTGAAAAATTAAGGTGTTTTTTCAAAAACTTGTCAGGAGTTTAGTTTCTAACCTCTAGCCATAATCTGGTACATATGCCTATACAAGTTTGCCTAGTCATGTTTGTCAGTATTGTATTTTCAGTCCTTTCCCTATGTGAAATGTTTCTAAATTATAGCGTATATACTACTTGTCTCTGGAATTTTACATGGGTCGTAGCTTGACAAATACTATGCTCAACGTAGACATATCTGCTGCAGTTGATGAAGCTATGTACCAAGTGAGTGATAGCATTTCTTTTACAAGCCTATTGTTTTAAAGCAACAAATGTCAAAAATATAAATTGCTGACTTCTGTAAGAGGATATTTAAGAACGTTTTTGAATGGAACTTATGATTCGATGAATTTCTATTTCCAGTAGGACTGATGTTTGCGCCGTACGAGTATTCTTCAGTCTAATTTTTCAAATACACTTCGATTATGCTCGTTATTTAATTAAACTCATGTTATGAACAAGTGAACTTACGATTGTCGTAATTTCGAATCATGATTAAACTGTAATATCAAAACGCTCATCTCAAGCTATTACACCAGTGTCAATATAACTTCTGAGGTACATCAAATGCTTTACAAAAATTTGTCTGTACTTTCTGTTCTAGGCTTAAATTGTTTCTGTGATTCATGAAAATGATAACTAGGAATGAAAAAAGTACGCTAGTAATCCATAAATAGTCGTCATTCTGAACTAACTTGTCCGCATATTTCTTCAGAAAAATGCCGCTAGTGTGTATGTGATTTTCAACTTCTATCTGCCCCGTTTTTCTACACTGCTCAATATGGTGTCATGATAATTTTCATCTACGATTCTCATTTAAGATTTGTTACTCATTATCCATTTTAAAGCTCATGTGTTATATTTCAGTTCATGAAAGTCACCGGTTTTGGAACCTAGTAACTGTTTAACCCAGCTCATTAACTTTTTAGTTTCATAAAATCTGCAAACTAAATTAATTTTATCAGAGTCAGTTATGTGGTTGTGTTATTTGAAGTCGGCTCCTAAAGTAGTAACTTAAGCAGTTAGTGTAAATCACACTATGCACCTACTGACCCCAAGTTGAATGAAGTGGGATCCAGCTACACTTCGAATACCGGCATAAAGTATTCAATGCAAGTTTAAGCATTGATGACCTGTATTTTAGCGTAACTCAGTGACTGTGTACAGGTTCATACACTAGGCAATGAATCATACTTATCATTGGAGAGATGATAGAACTACATGACTATCTAGCTCTCAGTAGGTGTACTAGAGCTTGAAATAGAGACCCACTGGCTGGAAGTCATCTGCATAGACCATGGGGTCAGCTCTACAATACCCTTTTTGATCATAGTCATTTGTCTTGCTCTTCCGAGTGAAGTCTGTTATGGGGTTAACTATCCCATTTTCTCTAGGTGCACTACAGATAAAATGTCTGAGAATTCATTTAGCATCTGTTTCTTCATCAATTCACCTTCGATGTCACCATTTGATAAACTTGGCATGAGAAATAAATGCCATTTCACTAGTTTTGAAGGCAAACTTTGATGATGCAAGTGGTTCTAAGCGGCTAAAAATTGGGATACTTTTACTATGGTCAAAAAATGGATGTTATAAGGTCACTGGTAATTAGGGAAGCAGTACCTGTTTATATCTGTTGTTTCTATTACCACTTCAGTCAAAATCTGATGTGCACTACTCATGTTTCACCGGTTATGACTAATCATTTATTCATGTCATTTTACTGTATACAGTTAGGACTGGACATTGAGGAGTTAGAGGAAATGGAGTCAGACGCTGGTCTTGGTAATGGTGGGTTGGGACGTCTGGCAGCTTGTTTCTTGGACTCTATGGCAACGCTAGGACTAGCTGCCTATGGATACGGCATCCGTTATGACTACGGAATTTTTGAGCAGATTATTCGTGATGGCTGGCAGGTATGTGGATCTGAAATACATATAATCTTTGTAAGTACTAATTGGATAATTAATTTGGTTTTGAGATGGATTCGTTTTTTTTTCAGTTTTTAAACTGACTACGAAGTATGTTTCATGGGTTCCGCAACTTTGGAAAAGCTGCTTATTTCCAGCAATTTTCGAGTGAAGATAGAAGAGAGCTATTTATACAGTTGTATATCGTTTTTATATTTACCGCAGGTTGAAGAACCAGACGACTGGTTACGTTTCGGTAATCCATGGGAGAAAGGAAGACCAGAATATTGTTATCCTGTCAATTTTTATGGTCGAGTTGAGGATGCTGGAAACGGACGCAGACGTTGGGTTGATGCACATCCAGTTTTCGCTATGCCTTATGATACTCCTATCCCAGGGTACAGAAATAACACTTGCAATACGCTTCGACTCTGGTCTGCCAAAGCCCCAAAAAGTTTCGACCTGGGAATTTTCAATATGGGCGACTACATAAATGTAAGGTGATGTTTTGCATATCCTCAGTTCATGTAGAAATGAGTTTTACTTATATGAGACTTCCCACTCCTTGCACCTTGTCTAGAAATAAGGAAATTGCGTCCAGACATCGAAGAGTCTTTAACACAGCATCTGAATCAAACATTTCAGAACAATGTCAGCTGTAGAATTTCCCTCTGTTTACATAGACTGAAATAAACCATGGTGGGGGTAAAATGTGATGAGTTTCCTACTACCTTACTTCACCACAATAGCTTAAATTATTACACCAGTGTACTTTGTATGTTCCAAGATACCAAAGTAATCACGTATGTATGGTACGTTTCCATAAGTTTAATAGATTGCAAAGAATTCACTTACCTAATTTAGCTTACTTTGATTCGTTCTTTTCATTTCATCCTAATGGTTATTAGAAACCATCATGCAGGTCTTTTCATTCCGATGATGACATTTCAATAACCAGGTTTATTTGGTAAAATTAACTGTCTACGAAATCGGTGTCCCGAGTGTAAAGAAATGTAGCTTAATGGTGAATCTAGGTATAATTTAGCAAATAAGTTTATAGCGAAAATTAAATGAAATCGCTCCTTTTCCCGTGTTGGCTGTTAATTTTGTTTTCGATAGAAGTCGCGAATTTAAGTACATTTGAATAACCAACTTATAGTAAGAAATAAAAAAATCCTTTTGATAATTAGCCGCTTAAATTCGTCATTCAAAACTGTCTTTTTAAAATCGTTTAAAGTGCTTGGTAAACTACTTGGCATAAACTACTCCGGTATCATTAAGCAAATACTGCGATTCAGATGACTCTAGTTCCCTCTTTTTTATCTATATTAACAAATTTAGACTGTATATGCTAGTAACTAGCCTCGCATTGTTTTCAGAGTATAGGGGTATAGTGATATGAATGAGGCAAGAAACCTGATTTTTGTTGGTCGCTTTTTCATGCAATAGTTTTGAGAATCTCCTTAAATGGTTCTCTCCTAATAGAATGAAGGATCCTATAGGATTGTTTGTGCTAAGATATGAGTTAGTTCAAGATGACATTTATATCTGAATCCATTTCTTAAACAGCCTAACTTTATAGACGAGAAACTTCTAAAGCCAGTTTCTTACCTAAGAGTGTTGACACTATGCGAAATGTAGGTAGTTATTTCGGATAAGTTGCAAATCATCAACTGCGATATAACAAGTAATGGTAAGTGAAACGCATGAAACGTAGCCAACACTTGTCATGCAAAGTAACGTTGAATGTCTTAGTATTATCAACACACTATGAAAACTACACTGTAAAAATAGTCAACTCGCTTACTGAAAAAATATCCCAAATGGAGTTCTACGCAACTATTTTTTAAAGTAAACTGTTGCCTCGCAAATATTAAGCACTTTCCATTGGGTATTTACATTATCTCAACTCAATCGGAATCACAATGAGGATAGTAGTGTCATAAATGCTTCTGCTAATTGTTCTAGTTGCTTATCGATCAACGGATCACGCTGAAGCCTCCCAGTAATTTAAGTCTATTTACCTCGAGGATTTTCCAATACAGTATAGCATCTGTCTGAAGGCGTACATGCAAGTTATCTTGCATGGTTTATGATGATTTACTGTAGCATAAACAATTTCATGAATGCTGTTCTAACCCAGTTCTGCTGCCTCAGGTATTCCTTTCGAATGCTGCATCACTAGATAGCTGTTTAAGTTCAGTTTATCACTTCTGGATTGTTTTTTGTAATGATGGACTGCACAACTCGTTTTGTCAATGTTACAAATAAGTTAATCTCCATGGTCCTTATGAGAACTAATACGCAATACTTCAGAAACGGAGAGGAAGTGTACCTTTACCTATTTAAGGCTTATAAAGACAAATCAGTGACTAAGACACCATATGATGAACTACCTCCTACTTTGTTTTGATTTTTCAATGCTTTTATGTATCTTTGTAGGAATCAAACAAATATTTTCCACTTCAAAAACGTGCTAACTTATATTTGTTTCTACTCTAACATAGGCTGTGTGTGCACGTAATCATGCAGAAAACATCTCCCGTGTTCTTTATCCAAACGATAATTTCTTCGTTGGTAAGGAACTTCGTCTTCGTCAAGAATACTTCTTAGTTGCAGCCACTTTACAGGTAATATATTATTTGTGAGTTTTGAATATTGGTTGTATCCTGACCACGCGAAGTCTTTGTCAAGTCCTGTTTTAATCCCACCTTCTGCTGTCTGATCCTTTTCCTGTGCAGGAGTCAGTAGAAAAACACTGTTGTGAAACTCATCAGCTTTTTGTAGGACTTTTCTCTACAGCACTGCTTTTCAGATAAAAACTATATCATCAGAAATGTCTCCGCAAACTGTTATTCTTGAAGCAAATCTCGAAAATCGTATTTTGTATAAGGGACGGTCATGAACAAGACATATTGTTCTGATGGACATACCAGTTGGAAACATGAACAGTGTTTAGAGAATGCATCGGCATGCCGGCTGCAAAATGCGATTCAGAAGCAGTATTCATCATGGACTGACATCAGTTGGGGAACCATTGAAAATCTGGGAGCGCTGGACAGCTGTTTCGTCCTAGTATGAGACTCCTCAGCAGTACGCACCCACGACGCGTTCACCGTGAAACCTCAAGGTTCTGAGTTCGACTCCTAGCCGGGTCGTGGGTGCGTACTGCTGAGTCCCATACTAGGACGAAACAGCTGTCCAGCGCTCCCAGATTTTCAATGGTTCCCCAACTGATGTCAGTCCATGATGAATACTACTTCTAAATTAAAAATCCCCATTCATCTCAAAAAAAATGCTATTCATTTACCATACCGTTTTTTTATTGCAGTAAAGTTGTGAGGAGGCAATTCTCTTAATATTTTCAACTTAACTGAAATGTAACCTCTGAAACTTTCCATTTTAACTGAATCAAATTCTAATCTTGAC